CCCGCTCCTTCCTCTCGCCTGGTGTCAGTGTGAAGAAATTTGGCTTCCCCGATTCTCCCATAAACTTGTGCACGGTTTTGAATTGCTGGTACAGGCCTGTCTCTTATACACATCTAGATGTGTATAAGAGACAGGTCGCGTATACGCTGTATAGGTGGGAAACAGGAGAGTCGTACGACAACAGCACATCATCGTTCGGCATTGGCAGATCATCCGGAGTTCGAGCCGTGCGCGATGTGACAGCCGCGTTGTTGAGGGTCTACGGGGACAGGATATCGTGGCCGACGGGCTGTCTCTTATACACATCTAGATGTGTATAAGAGACAGCCCTCACCCTCCCTCCCCTCCCTTAATGTCCTGCCCCGTCGCTCCTGCTCGGGAATTCTCTTTGATCAGCCACCTCCCCTCCGCTCCCCTCCTCAATGTCCTTCTGTCCCTTTGCGCCTGCTCGAGACTCCTCTTTCACCTACCACCTCTCCTCCCTCTCCTCCCTCTCCTCCCTCTCCTCCCTCTCCTCCCTCTCCTCCCCCCCTCCCTCAATGAGTTACCCCTTCGCTCCTGCTGGACAAGTTTGCAGGCAAAAGATGCAAACGGAGAATCTTTAGACCGAACGAAAAAAAAATTGGGCCAAGGGGTAAATGGCAGTCCGGTCCTCTGAGACATCCGTTAAAACTGCAACGATACAGAGAATGAAGATTAGCGTGGTCCCTGCGCAATCAAGGATGACACGCATACGCATAAATCGAGAATTTTTTTTTTTTTTTAAGGTGGAAAAAAAAAAGCTGTCCGGTCCTCCGCGGGACGTCCATTAAAATTGGATCGATCTAGAGAAGATATATATATTTTTTCTTTTCTTTTTCGCAGAGAAGAAAGAGTATTATGGCTTGTGTACTTCGCGAGATCCGTCCGTCAAAAAAAAAAGAAAAAAAAAAGGAACGATACAGAGAAAGAAGATTAGCAGGACCCCTGCCTACGCAAGGTTGACAGGCATAAATAAATTTAGAAATGGTCCAAAAAAAA